GATAACACAGAGACTACTAAAAAGAGCGGGATTTTGAGTAGCTCAGGAGTTCGGAAAGCACCAACACGTCATCCCATCCCACCAGGTTAGTTTTTTACTCAAAGCGCGTCAAGGCCCCCACAACCTGCGGCAAGCTGTTGAGAAAGGAAAAGGGTTACTCAGGCTATCCCACCTATAGCCTGAGTCCCGTTGGTCTTCAGGGATTCGGGGTAAGAGCACCTAATCCTTCGCATGTACGTACAAAGTTTTAGATTGAGAGAAAAAGAAGTGTGGAAAAGCAAAAACTGATAGAATAGAAAAGGAAAGAGGAGAACTAGGGAGAGGGAAAAGGCCAGGTTAAGAAGTTTCCCTGGGTGAGTTGTATCTCTTGATGTTCGGGAATCTGTTGGTCGTAAGGATGAAGTTGGAAATTTCTTCGATTGCCCTCGGGTTGTCCATAATAGATCGAAAGGAGTTTGGGTTTACTCCGCATTGGAGCTGTCGAAGTTTTTGTTTCAGAACTTTTCGAGCTTGCCTGTACCTACTGCAAAACATCAGGAAATGGGCTGCGTTTTCTAGTACGAAACAGTTAGTACATCTAGGATCTAAAATAGCTTTAATTCTAAACAGGAAATTGTTCAGCGGGGCTGTGTCTGCTCTGAGTTGGAGTATCGTTGCCGCCAAACCCTTTTCTTGAGTATCCAGCGCTTGGACGAACTTTGCGCTGTCTTTGGCGAAGACAAACCGTCGTGAGTCCTCTTCTGACAGGGTCTCTGGAGTCGTAAGGCGAGTCTTGCAGTCTTGCCTGAGTTTGGCCAGGCTGTTCGGCACATTGGTTGATAGGAAACTGATGTCAGAAGAACCGTCTTCCCCTCCTGCCGCCTTTTTAGCTAAAGAATCCGCTTTTTCGTTAGCTTCAATACCCTCGTGTCCGGGGCACCAGAATAATCGTATCGGGCGGCCCAGAAGCTTCATTTGGAAGAAATTGTCAGTGAAGATGCTCTGGCCAGAGGACAAAGAGATGGGGTCAGATGAGCGCATCAGGGCTCCCTGGTTGTCGCTAAAAATTGCCACCTTTGTGAAAGTGTTGGACACGTCAGCCTCAAGAATTCTCTTTGCCAGTATTATGGCCCAGTCTGATTCCTATAAGCTCGGCCTCAAAATTTGAGATCAAATTAGCTGGGTGTGTATTGTCGTTGCGATGCTTTCACCTCGGGGGTGAGTTACCGCTGCAGCTCCAGCGCCTTTATCAGGTATCCACGAACCATCGGTGAAGATGACTAAAGAGTTGTCCTGGACCTCCTGTTGCAGTTGACTTGGGATTGTAGCAGGGCTACAGGGGAACAGGCCGGATACATCTGTACCGGCCTGTCACCCACATGAGTCTCCTAGCTGACGCAAGGAGGCGTACGCCTTTCCAGTGCCGAGGGAAGCTACAGAACCGGAGTTACGGCTCCTTGCTTCCCTCGTCATCTTTAGCCGCAGGGGCTTGCCCTGTACTAGATTAGTACAGGCCCTTGCCCACACGGCTGTTTCTCTTGTTGTTTGTTGTCGAGGCCTATATAAAAGGCCTCTCTTGTAGGGGTGCTCCCCGCTCTCTTTTCCTTCTCATCGAAATCCAGAGAGCATCTCAGGTTCATCCTTGTCTTCAGCGCGACTCCGCGCCTAGTTCTCCTTAGTCTGAAGGAGCCCCGCTTCAGGATTCGTTGTAGCACTTTTTCCCTTTTGTCTGACAGGTTTTGGATCTTGGAGATTGTATCAACCCAGGGGGGGGGGGCAGGTACCGGGCAATATATGTATACTTCCCCTCTGCCATGTCATTTTCTGGTTGCACCACCCCCGGGGGCTTCGCTACCCGGGTGAACCCTGCCTGACCAACTGACCAAACTTCCCGACTGGTCAACCACAAAGCTTCAAAAGAATGCCAACTGGCTCATCCTCGATTGGCCAACATCTTTCTCAAGGACACCTCGTATCGGCATCCTCCATGAAAGTAAGCTTCTTGATCCTCCTCCCCTCCTCTCAGGCCATGAAGTTGTTGACTGAAACTGACTGAGCTCGGCTTTGATCTGTTTCGCATACAGTTTCTTCTCGATGGGAACGGATTACTAATGAGCTCAAATCAGATGTGAGTTTTCAATGATTAGACATGTATATAACAATAGTCGAGAGAGAGAGATACATAAAACTAACTGAAATTGTCTTGGTTCAATGGCCTGCTTGGCTTGGTGACCAGCCTGCCTGCTCCCCTCCTCACCCTTCACTTCTCGGTCACCTCCAACCTAAACCGCGTGAACAAAAGAAAGATAAACGGAAGGAGCAGCAAAAGTCTGCTGCGGAGCGAGCTCATCACCGGGCCATTCTCATCCCGTTCCCAAGAGTAGCTGGTTAGATTTCTCCGAGGCCGATTCGAAAACTGTCATCAGTGACTGCCAAGACCTTTACACCGAGCCCATCTCCGAGAGCACTCTCACCCCTACACCCGACCCAGTTGCTTTGAGCCCCTCAGTCAGATCTAGCATCGTTTCACAGCTCAAGGCTAGGGCCTCATTCAGCAGCCGGATCTACAGGAGTACGACCACCGCTCGTTCTCCCTCTCCTGGCCAACCACAATCACGACAATCTGCTATCGATCGAGGGAGTTAGTCCCAGGTGGAGCGTCTGCGTTCAACTATTCACCCAGTGAGTAACTCAAACTGTTGTCTTTTGTTCTTTTTATGATTAACTGATCTATTGCCACCTTAGAACCATTGTGTCACTTGTCCATCCGATTCATCTGCCGCACCATGAGTTCTGCCCACCGCCTGCAAGGCCTCTGAAGATCTAGCAAGAGAATCATATACTAATGCAATCAACAATGACCTCAAGATCCATCAGGAATGACCTCAAGATCCATCAACAATGACCTCAAGACAAGGCGCCAATCATCAGCAATGACCTCAAGATCCATCAACAATGACCTCAAGATCCATCAGGAATGACCTCAAGATCCATCAACAATGACCTCAAGACAAGGCGCCAATCATCAACAATGACCTCAAGACCAGGCGATCAACAACGACCTCAAGACCAGGCGATCAGCAATGACCTCAAGACCAGGCGATCAACAATGACCTCAAGACCAGGCGATCAGCAATGACCTCAAGACCAGGCGATCAACAATGACCTCAAGATCCATCAACAATGACCTCAAGACCAGGCGATCAACAATGACCTCAAGATCCATCAGCAATGACCTCAAGATCCATCAGCAATGACCTCAAGACACCGCACCCATCATCAGCAATGACCTCAAGACAAGGCGCCGATCATCAGCAATGACCTCAAGACAAGGCGCCGATCATCAGCAATGACCTCAAGACCAGGCGATCAGCAATGACTTCAAGACCAGGCGATCAACAATGACCACTAGAACTATCAGCAATGACCTCAAGACCAGGTGATCAGCAATGACCTCAAGACCAGGCGATCAGCAATGACCTCAAGATCCATCAGCAATGACCTCAAGACAAGGCACCAATCATCAGCAATGACCTCAAGACCAGGCGATCAACAATGACCTCAAGACCAGGCGATCAACAATGACCTCAAGACCAGGCGCCAATCATCAACAATGACCTCAAGACCAGGCGATCAACAATGACCTCAAGATCCATCAACAATGACCTCAAGATCCATCAGCAATGACCTCAATACCAGGCAATCAACAATGACCTCAAGTGAACCAACCACATGAAGGACACCAGAACTGCTCCCACGTAAGGATTTCCTTGATCAAAACAATTTCATCAAGTTGCCAGGGAACCATCTCCTAAACTGGCTTGCTACCTTGAGTAGCCTTGGCAAATGGGGGTTCAAATTGACGCTGCCCCTCTTGTCCTCCCTGCTTGTCGATTAGCTCCACCAATTTTCAGTTAGTGAAATCCCAACAACCATCAAGTGGAAGCTAGCAGGTCCAACCACAGCACTTGGAACTTGGCCTACAAAAGGGGAATGCACTGTGCAAGGGAGTTAATCACAAGCTGGTGAGTGGTGCTATCTTATTCTACAATAACACTGGTCTTTCTAACCCACTTGTTTTTGCAACAATTCTACAGGGTTGCTGTCCACCTTGGTCCACCCAAGAATACTATTTCTCTACCGCAAGCTGCTGAGGGGCCTGAGGCCTTCAATCAGCTATGCAGACCTCAGGCATGCAACTGGGCACCCTTCAAGTGCCAACCATCTTGCCTACTCCAAATGATCCCATGTGGGCCTTGGATGATACTGTTAACATCTGAGTCTGATGCCTCTAGACTCAAGTCTCTTACACACTCTCAACTTCAATTTTTCTAGTCTTTTTTCAAATGACATCAACAAAAAAACCACTCTCAAGCTTTGTTCACATGATGTCATCAATCTGAACTCTTGTCAGGGCTTGTTGGTGGAATCATATTTAAAAAAATAGATCTACCCAGGACCTTACCTAAATTATTTCATAATCTCTTTCTTTATAGATCACACCATGTTACAAATCAAGTGAGATTCAGATCAGCTGAAATAGAGTTGGGCTCTACTTATTTTTTTGGGCTGATGTGCCTATGATCAACTCCAACAACCAATCAGCGATTCCTAAATCAGACTGGAATTTTATTAAGATACAATCTTTCATTGCCCCCATCTTTGGGGGCAGAGAGGGCTTTCAAATAACAGGGGGACCGGATCAAATGAAGTATTTTAATTTTGAATTTCTCTCAGCAGTATAATGATTAAGATAGCATCAAAATGATTGGTGTGTTATACATGTGCAAGAGAACTTGAAACAGTTTTGGATTTTGCTCATGATCAGGGCCCTTGAAGATATGTAAGAACCTTGTGAAGATATGGAAATGGTCAAAAGAAAGACCAATCCCAATGTAGCATACAATCATAGTAATCAAGACCAAACTATCAGCTTATTTCTTCTGGTCAGTGGCAATTGGTATTTTGCTAAATGACCACAGTGTAATTCAGATTTGGGATGTAAGATTATGTGATGTCCTTTATATTTTTTGCAATTTGTTTCCCTTGGGACTATGGTAAAAGAGAACATCTTTGGAGTTCCATCGCTTGTTTGGATGGGGGTCCTAAAATGTGAAAAAAGATGAGCTTTTAAATCGCCTCATTCCTTGGACAGGGAGGAAAAAGACTAACGTTCGAGATCGTAACAAAAGCATTCTGTTTATCATAAAAGTTTGAATATTTTAGCAAGAGTTGTGGAAACACGTTGGCTGTTTGAATCAACTTACCATCGAGCGCAGTAATTTTGAGATGGCAATGGATTTGGTGACGTTCTTCAGGTTGGCCTGAATTTCAAACGTGTCCTTGCGCTCAAATGGACCCATGAAGGTGCCATTGGCGAGAATCTGGCTTAAGCTGTAGGCTGGATCAGATTTTATTCCAGAGCTGAAAAACCCTTGAAGTAGTGTTAGCAATCGCCCATCAAGTCTCTCCTTGGGATAACTGATAATTGAATTGTGACCCCTTGGAAAAATAGAGCGTCATGGAAAGCACGTTTTGCCTGTTAGATAAGCTCGATAATCGACTCCAAGAGATTTCTCGAGGGGATAAATCAACCGACTGACATAGTCGAACTCCTTGGTTTGTAAAGGGCCGCTGCTGTCATGAGAGCTGCAAGGATTGATTGGCCCAACACGATTGCTAACAAAGAGGCGCACATCATCTGAGTGAACTGCATGTTGATTACTGACATAACCGCTAATGGCGCCGCGGTAAAGAGAAGTGCTGGATTGGGGATAAGCAGAAGGTAAAGAGCTCCAACCGCTTGGACTGTCGCCGCTACAACGGAGGGGCCAAAGACGGCCTCCAAGTCACTATGTTCCACCACAGCAGGAAACCTAGAGGGTCATTTTAAAAGGGATAAGCAATTTCCTCCGTTCAACTTGGCCAGAATATTAAGGAGCGATATTGAAACCAAAGATGCTGATGCTCACAAATCATTCCAGACGGAAGCGATGGCATCTGTATTTTTTTAAAAAACATAATAATGAAAAAAAGCAGGCCCAGATGATCATAAGGGATATCCATCTGAAAAACTGACTCTGGGTAAGAGAAATTGTCTCTCCGGCAACTTGATGTAATGTGTTGAGATATATGTTCAGGTTTGGGGTAGCATAAAGAATATACCAATCTGGTGCCTTCACTGGACTACAAAGCTGATTGTTGATATGAGACAAGGCCACGTGAGTATGTGCTAAAATATCTTTATAACAGTTTTGTTTACCCCAAAGGTAGCTAAGAATCCTCAACGCACCTGCCCCTATGTTGCAATTTGCACCTGGCCATCAGAGTTGTGTGTTAGAATCAAGATCATTGAGGTTAAGGTTTTCTCAACGGGTCTCATCTTTCCTTACCAATTCCACATCTTAAATTACCTGCGCCCTTGGAAGCAGCGTATGCCTGTTTGAAAAGCCAAAGGGAGAGGATCAGACTTCAGTCTGGAAGACTTTTGTGGTACACTTTGCTTCAAGGAAACATCACGAAAAGTGCTGCTTGTATTAATGCGTTGGATGGCTATCTCTGTTCCAGTTTTCTCCTGGTTCAATAGAGCAGAAAGCAGATGGTCCACCTCTGTGCCACCCGGTAAATTTTCACAAACAGTGTTGGTTGATTGGATAAGGCCGATGAAAAAGCACACCTGAGTAGTTAAGTTTGCCCTGTTTGGATAAGTCTGAAGATAATCATCCCAGTGGAACCTATTCCAAGTAGACTGATCGAGGGGATAAGGCGTGCAAGTCGTCAGAAGTGCACTTCACGGCTACTCCGTTGGGGGCCTGTTTGGTCGTGATGGTGTACTGGATCTGGAAGGGATATCAGAGTGTCGGTTAATTGTATGCGCTAGGAAAGCTGGTGTGGCGCCCAGGACGAAATCAATCACGCGGAAGGTTGGTGAGGTGAATTTCAAGGAGAGGCCAATCATTCGGGTAGCCCGAAATCGCGGAGTTGTTGGAAATAGTTGGCGGCTGGTGTATTGGGGTAAGTTGGAGAATGAAGATGTTGGAATGCTTCTATCTGATACTCTGTACAATAAGAAAGGAATGTAATCTTTTCAGCATATAACGACTGGTAAGTTTGAGGAAAGGCTTGTCAGATTAAGAGGCCGGTAGATACAGCTGTTCCCAAAAACCTTGCGGTTTCGGGAGCGCTGTATTTCAGAAGAAATTTTTTTTGCGCCTCTCTTTTTAGCGCCACTCTCTCCTGTACGTGGCCCAGTATGGCCACAGTACTGCAGGCAAGAGTACCCAACTCCCTCATTTTTCGAGTTGAGGGTATGGGAGTTGGATCATCGTGATCCTCTCGATTTTTTGGTTAGGAGCCGGTCATCAGGTAGGGGCTTGCCCTCCCCTGCCTGGCAGCTGGCAGGCACCCGGACCCACACCAGGGCCTCGGCAGCCAAATCACAACCTGTACCGTCCTCTGTACAGGCCGTGAGGCGTCAAAAGTTGGTGGCGCTAAAAAATTTCTTCGAAAATACAGCGCTCCCGAAACCGCAAGGTTTTTGGGAACAGCTGTAAACTGATAACGGCAAATACAGCTGCTACTTCGAGCGAATCAAACACCTCTTCGCAAAATCCCTGGCCACAGAACGTGTATGTATGACGGTACGGAAGCCCAGGTACGACACAATCGTGCCACCCGTAATATGTATGTCAGAAATCCTAAAACCAAAAGTTGAAAACACCAATACACCACGGTGGCACCGGAGCAGCTCGACCGTACACAATTGAGTTTGCCATTACATCGCCGATCTACTGGCAATTACATATTTGAACTCCTCTCAGCCTTTTCTCAAGCCCACCCTGGCAATCATCTGGACCCGACCACGATTGCCTGGAATCTCAGCCAAAGCCCATCACCAATCTTCTCGCAATTGTTCATCCTCCTCTCTGCCTTCTCTTGGCCCCTTGCGCGATTGTCTGGAACTACGCGCAGCTCCCTAGACCGATGGCCACCTAGTTCTACTCATGAACATGCAGGGGGTCAATGGGGTCCCCTGCATATCGCTCAAATCTCAGACATTACATCTCACAAAACTACTGGCCATCATTTTCGCTGATCCGAGCCCTTTTTTGGGCCCACCACCCCATCTTCTGGACCTACTCGAGGTGGATGACAGGCGGAGACCCTTGAGGTAGCTCACGCTTTTGAAGCTCCCATAACTTGCACTTGCAGTTTAGTGTTCTCATTGGCATTTGGATGCCGTATTGCTCTCACTAATTGGATGACAAGAAAGGCTGGATATGTAGAAAACAATCGCGTAAGGCTACAACTTGAGGGGAAGGTACCCCAGGAAAAAAATTTGTGCGGCTGGCAACAGTTTCTTCCTTCCTGGTTGCAGAGAGGACTGAAAGACACTCCTGTCTATGAATCATGTTTCAAATTACTAAGTACAAGAGAGGGAGAAATTGGGTGGTTGGGTTTCAGCAACTCTTATGTTTCAATGCATCCCTATTGGAATTCTGGTGTCAAGAATCGTATTGTTCCAATTGATTTGTGAATTGGTCTACAGTATTGGTGTTTTCAACTTTTGGTTTTAGGATTTCTGACATACATATTACGGGTGGCACGATTGTGTCGTACCTGGGCTTCCGTATGACGGCGGGTACTAGAGCAAGTATCTGTCCTCAAGACATCATTATGTGAAGCGAACAAACGCTCCAGTGATAAAAGAAAGATGAGTCATTGAATATAGGTGCTCGATCAAGTGTGTTTCAGCTTCTGATTTCTACGCTGGATGTTATCTTTTCGCTTCAAATGGCCCCTCCTCGTCCTGGTTTTCTCCAATTACGGGTCACGAGTTTTCGGGACAGGTACAGTTGTACAGAGGCCATGGGCTAGGGTCTTACTCTTAAGTTAACCACGACATGTCGGAACCCGTTGTGCAAACTTTCAGTATCATGATCAGCTATCAGCTTATCATGATTGATCACACCGCCAGCTACATATCAACAACTGATGGCGCAAAATAATGCGTCCCCTCTGGAATTCCTGCCCCCGGGTTGCGTGCGACTCATGCTGGGAAGCAATTTTTTGTTTGCATTTTAAATGAGCGAGCCGACACCCCATCATTCAAGGTAGAACAAGCCCCATGAGCGCTATCAGTATTCAAGTCATCATTTGACATGTCAAAAACTATAAGCATGTCCTTGTGGTGAGTAGCACACGTGGGGTGGATGGCCCAGGCTATGAACCCAGGATAGCATTATGTAGTGCTTGGAACTTTCTCACTGAGAACTATCCTTGCCACACGAATTTGCCACTTATTAATTGACCTCAACAGGTCAGAAAGTTGAGCAAGCTTGATCATATTCCCACCTGCAAAGCTCAACTTTTAGATATCAACTTGATGGTTGACCGCGAATTGAATTCCCGCGGGAGCAGGATTGGCCAGGCGACCGGCCTCAGCCAAAAGTTCAACACAGCCCTTTTCGACCACCGACCGCGATTTGAATTCCCGCGGGAGCAGGATTGGCCAGGCGACCGGCCTCAGCCAAAGGTTCAAACCAGTTTTTTGACAGTCAACCATGGAAAGCATCAAGCTAAACCATGACTACGAAGGGGTATGGAGGTACTGGACCTGCCAGACTTGCCAAAATAAAAAAAAACACAGATATGGAGGTGAACTGCCCAATCTGCCAAAAGGCTGGCACTCACAACTGCCATCCAGTCAAAAATTTTGACTGCCACGAACCGTCTGTGAATTTTGACTGCCACGAACCGTCTGTGATTGCCACATATGGTTCTGAGCCGCCAGCCATGCTCCTGAGCTGCCATCCATGGATCCCAAACGCCATTCCTGCCTAAGGGTTGCCCCCGAGTGTTACACGCAATTCGGGAGCCCTTCTAATTTCTTCTTTGCACGAACTTAAGACAAGTCCCAAGAGTCCCTGTGGGGTTCCTAGGCTGGAGTGGCCTCGGATATCAGAGACCCTGTGGGGCTCTCCCCAGAGAGGCTTGGTTAAGCTCGTTCTTTGCAGGGATCTTGAGAGTAAAAAGCCCGGCCAAGCAGTTTTCACGGGTACCGAGCCGGTCTATCAAGCACAAGCAAATTTCTCCTAACCACGGGGGATCTAGTCCATACCTACAGGAAGCTGACTTTCCTGAGGCCATGGCAATGTCCAATCTCTGGCTCTTCTCGTTGTCAGGTACATTCTTGAGATTCAGAATGCCCAACCCTCAAGCAAGGCACTCATCAGCTCCCAAGTGGATTCACCAATCCGACGGGAAAAATCTCCAACATGTTTGGTTAAGATGCTTCCACCGACCCAACGAGTGATTCCCTTATAAATGAGGTCTCCAAGCTTGACCCGTCGGGTTGGAGACACGGGTTTACTGGTTTACTTGTATAGCTACAGCCTGCCGATGGGGTCCAGCCTCAGCTTGGCCATCCTATTGGGCTTTGGATTCATTGTCATTATGTACATGTTCCAGGGGTGGTTTACATAACCCGGGGACCTGATGGTTAAGACAAATGAAGCCAACCGGTCCCACCATCTGGCATCTAAGGCCCCATTTATAAACGATATTTTGAAAATGTTTTGAAAAACTTTTGGAATGCTTTTGAAATGTTTTTTTTTTTCAACTTCAAATAACACTTTTTGTATTTCAAATACTTTTCAAAATGTTTTCAGAAGCTGGCAGTAGTTATAAACCCAGTAGCACAATCATGGTAATGAAAAAAATTGCCTCGATTGTATTGAGTCCGCGGAAGCGGCAAGGCTTTGTATTATTACAAGGCTGAACACAAAATGCTACCCCCTAATCTCGACGACGATGACTCTCTTCAAGGAATCGCTCTCTGGCATTTTCTCTTTGTCCAACGATCTCAGGAGCGCAACATGGTTTACATTTGAGCTCGCAGGGAACCATGGAAAGACTACCTGCGGCCAGGGGTTTGTCAAGCTCTTCCGTAGCTCTCTGGCCGACTTCAACTGGTTCTCATGGGACGATCTACCCAGCAAGACCAACTTGGACTTGGCGAACCTTTGACTGTGGAAGCCTCAAGTTGACGTTGGTCTTGACCATCTGGGGCATGGGAGTAGCTATGCTATGTAACGATCAAACGGTTTTCAACCGTTCTCTTTCAAAAGTTGTATGATCAAGGAGATAAATTTTCTGATTGCTCAAAACTGCTCTTTGAGGACTTTTGAAGCGCTTTTGAAAAAGAAAAAAGTTGAAATCTATAGCTAACTTTGAACTTCAAAATGCTTTCACAAGTTTTTCAGAATAATTTCAAACTACTGTTTATAAGTAGGGCCTAAATCAGGGTCAAATAAGAAAGTTAACAACTAAATTTTTTGAGACTTAGGGCGACTGTTGGCCATTGTTTTCTTGAATTCTACCTCGGATATTTCTTCGAAACCGTCTGATTCCGAGTCATTCTTGGATTCAGCAGGGCCGCGGGATGTACTCCCTGAGGCAGCCGCAGAGCTCCTCTCCTGTTCTTTCCCCTTCGCCTCTTCTTTCTGTTCTTTCTTTTTCGCCTGTTCCTCCTCTTGTTTACGCTTGGCCAACTGCTCGGCCTCCCAGCTGGGAGTTTTAAAAAGTCAGCCAAATGTAAAGGTTAACTGAGTCCAGAGGTTGTACAGACCCCTTTTGCAATTTGGCAATCGGTGGTTTCCCACCAGTGCGCATTCTTGGAGATTTCTGGACAAGGGGAACCAACAAGAGCGTTAGACTCAATAGGTTATCTTCGCATGAGAGAGGATAAAAGAAGTGTACCATCTGTTTAGTCATTTTCAATCTGTCAAATGCCTGGAACCTGAGTTGTTGGATGAGGGGAATCAGTTGGTTTGTGGTGAGGGGAAGGTCCTAAATAGGCACCAGCTGATCATCTGTTTCAATATTTTTGTGAACCGTCAAATGTTCAGGCCACTTGAGATATGTCTTTTTGTTGGGGGAGGGCCCACACAGCCAAAATTATATCCATTTGAACCTTTAAATTGTTCCCCTTGTTCGGTTCATGACAACAATGCTGGGTTTAGAGGTATCGTATGGGTATATCATTCGTTCACATCACACGTTCACAATCAACCTCATGAACCTCCTCTTAATAACCCCAAAGCTAAACAACTCAAGGCTTACGCAGACGGGGCAACAGGGCATCTACATATCCTCATGCGGTTCATCAGAATTTATCCTCACCTGTTCCAGGTTCTAGCTCCTTCATTATTATTATTATTTTTTTTTTTTCATGGTATTTGGAAAATCGAATTAAATAGGATGTCCTTTGAAATCTGCTTGACAATGCCGAGCCTCAAATTTCATCATGGGTGTCATGATATCGAACGAAACCTGGTTGAAGGTTTGATATTCTTTCAACACTGACACTTCTAAGTTCTCCAGCCATAGTAACTGACTGACCCTCCGATCACACAACCTTTTCAACCCTTTCGGCAGGTAAACACAGCCTGGAGGCCCTCGGACCCAACAACCAAACCCGAAAACGAGGGGCTAGGCCCTTATGTTCTTCTTCCAAAATCTCCTCACAAAATCCTCACTGGTTGTTTTTTATCTGTAATCTATGTAGGATGTGAGATATTCGAGCCCGCTGCTTAAGGAAATCGAACAAGAAAACCAAGAACGCATGGCCTAGGATACTGCTAAAGTCCGAACCGGTAGTGGCCAATAGAAACCCAATTCCACTTGAATCCCTTTTATGCATTGTTTTTTTTTTCTTTTTGGGTTTGGTCAATTGTTCCTTGGGGAGCTCCTTGTAAAGAACGGCGCATTGAGCGGCCGCGATCGATCATCTTGTTCACGTTCGGTGCGACGAGTGATAGCCTGTAAGAAACAAGAGATATACAAGATTGAGAGGCCACACGAAGTCGGTAGGATCGATCATCTTGTTCACGTTCGGTGAGACAAGTGATAGCCTGTAAGGAACAAGAGATATACAAGATAAATCTTTCAGGTCCAGATGTTTTCTCGAACATCTCGAAAGGAGGGATGAGATAACCGTTTGCATGGTTTGGTTCTCCTCCATGATCAAGTCGTCATATCTCTCCAGCCAAATTTTCGGTACCCAGCAAGATTAGCATACCATGTCGTGGTCAGCCCTCCAAGAGGAGATAGTACCTGAGAACTAGATACAAAGTTTTTTTTTTTTTTTTGGAATTGGTTGACCGAAGGTCAGTTCCACTTTATCTTCCATCTTACCTTTGTCTCCCTGAGGCGTGTTCCATCAACAATGTGTCATGTCAGTCCTGCTGCTTCTTTAAAGCTCTGGTAGGGGTGAAACTTTGGGAGACAGCGATAGAAAGTGAACTCCCAATGAATTCTCCGATGCTTGTTTTCATCCCTCTCACAGAAAACTTCAATTTATGAAGATTTGATTGAAATGATAATATTAACCATTGACCGGGCTACCTCATCTAGCAGTCTCAGCTAAGAGTTCCACATCTTCAGGGGCTCCAACAATAGGCGTATGATGGTCTATTCTGATATTTT